CCCTCTCAAGCTTTGTTTGACAGGAACAGAGGTAGGCGAAGGCAGTGGCATCCTGCAGAGAGGATGTGGAAAAAAACAATAACCAAATGCAAAGAACAGGAAACCATCTCTGAAATCAGCGTGAGGTCATCTACACACCTTCCCCAACAAGGCAGCTTCATGAGGTACTATAGTCTGAGGCTTCATCTCTGGCCGATAATATTGAGCTTTGAACAAATATCTTCTTACACAAGATGCTGTCAACATGGGTTCAGCAAGAAGCTAGTAAGGCCAAGGAGAAAACCCCAGAGTGCACTGAGGGCAGCTGGAGCCAGCAAGTGCTCAGCACCATTGGAAATCTAGGTCCAAAGTCCTAAGGAGTTTGAAGAAAAAGCAATTCTTTCTGCTTGCAGCTCCCTTGAGTACAGCAATGTTTGCTTCCTAAAATACTTCTGAACAGATGTGACATTCGCAGTGGGTCAGATAGATTGTTTTCCATGAGGGAACATGGCATGCAGTAAGGAAAGTGGATCAGAGGGAGGTTGTTCTGCGAAAGACAGCTCTTAGGAACTACATGGTCCCTCGCTGGGCTTGGGCTACAAAAGCTACCATTGTTCAAATACTGTGGGGAAAAGCATCCAGCTCTCGGTCCACATACAAATCCATTCAGAAGCAGAGGGGAATATTTAAAGGTTCCTAATATTCTACAAAGGAAACTGCCTGGACATGCCCAAAATGTGTCCTGACATGTCCTGTCCACAAATCCCAAAGCACTCGGAGCTGGTGTGGGGAGTCAGGTTACTGGTGACACAGACCGAACAAAGGACCAAGCTGACAAAAGACAGTCAGGCACCAAAAGGTGCATAGCAAAGCCCAGTGCCATGGAGTCATGTGGGATGATAAGCTTCTAGGAGCTTGGCCTGCCGAGGAGATGCTACGTGCTTGTCCTGACTGTGGTCTGGACTGCCAGGAATCGATACGTGCTGTAAAACATGGTCTGATTTAGCAGCTTACAGGTTAAAAAGGCTTTGTTTTCTGACCATGGCCTCCCTTTCCCCCCAAGTTGCATTTCACACGGTTCAGTCACAGTCTTATTTCACAACTGTGTGTTTTGAAAGGACTTATTAGCTCTAAGTGTAGGCTGGGCTTAAGTCTCTTGCTTTATTGTTTACCCTGCCTGCTAGGCCTGTTTCTGGGGTCAGACCCAGGTTACCAATTACAGCTGTGATTAAACGTACTAGCCCAGCTTACCCCTGGGCTTTTTTCCCCTTAAATTCCCAGTGATTGTGCTTAACTGGTGTTAGCAACCAGGTGGCTGCTGGCACTGCCGTCACAATTGTCTGTGCCTTCTCCGGCAGAACCAGACAATGAGATTTGAACGGGGCCAATACATCTATTATTTTTACAGTTCAGAAACGTTGCCAGAGATTTTTTTTTAAATTTGTTTTTCTTGGTGAAAAAAAAGCCAAACTACGTAGATAACCTTAAACTCCTGAAATGCTAGGGTAATTGGGAGGGACCCACCCGGGAGAAGTGACAGCTAATTTAGCAGTCTGTGGGACAAGTCTAATTGGCAGGATTTGAATGTTCATTCTTTGTAACTATTTTACTGCTGGTAACAGGGGGTGCGGATTCACACTGTGACTGTTTGACTGGCAGCTGACTCTAATGGTACTCAAGGACAGCCTGAAATTGGTTTTGGTGTCTCAGGCCTTATGAACTTCAGCCCAGCAGACTAAAAAAAGGTGTCGTCACCCCCCCAAAAAACCCGTAACAAGTCAAAGTGTAGCGTGGGAACGGTTGCCTTTTAGGTGTACATAAAACAACCTGAGTTGCTGACTCTGGAAAAGCGTAACTCTGTGTGAGCAGCTTGGTCTGTCCATGCTGAGTTTTAACCCTTGATTGAAAGCCAAATGTTCCCCTTTTATTGTAAAATTTCCAGCTCAACTGGTTTTGAACCTCATTTGGATAAACAGGGCCAGAGTGTTTGAAAGCCTATCTGAACTTCTAATTCCCGTCAAACCAGTTACAAATCTAGTCTGGCCAATTGCTATGGAGAGGTTTATTGTTTTTTGTTCTTTTTTTTTTAATTGAAATCTAAATGCTGTCAGCCATTTCCAGCTAAACACAGGGCGGAAACTAATCTAGCCAGAACAGCATTAAAAACAGCTTTAACTTCTCTTTTTAAAATAAATTTTATTTTCTAATTGTTTGTTTACTCTGTAACTCCTCAAAGCAATTTGAAAGCATGTATTAAGTCTTATGCCCTGTCTTTAAGACTGCAGTCTTCTTGTAACAAGGCCAGAAATTATGGGCACATAACCCTCTTAGAGGTCCTTGAGCTCCACAGGAAATCTCTTATTGGAAGGGCTTAACGAAGACAATCTGATTTCGGAGACCAGGGCCTGTGTCAGACCATATGAACAGCCCTAAGCTGCGTGAAGGGAGCCTTTAGAGTCGCGATGATTAAGAATAAATGGAGGATCTGAATTTGGAGAATGGTGCCACCACTTACTTCATCCACTTGCGGAGCAGGGGGGACCAGGGGAACCTGCTTGCCAAGGTTAAATCATCAACAGCACTTAACGAACACTGTTAGCCCTAATGGCAAATAAACCTGAGCTTGCTATTAGTGCTATTCTTGGCAGGCTGGAGGACAGAAGACCTCTTGCTACAATTATTGTCCAGTGACTCAGGGCTGGATGATACCATCCAAGTACTTTTTAATGTGATCCCTCTGTTGGATGGGGGAAACAAGCCCTTTTCCCTGCTCTCAGCTCGTCTGGTTAGATTGCACACTCTCCTCAGGCCTCCTGTGCTTTACTACAGTAGAAAAGCGAGGGTTTATTTTTGCTTTCGCTTTTACTGATATTATTTGTACAAAGGTACCTTCTACCAGGATGGTTTCTTGCTTCCTAATTTTCTGCTGATTATGACTGTACCCACGCGCGGTGAGCGTGTCTGTGGGCTGACAATACAGGTGTGTTTAAAGTAATGGAGCTGTGTGTGGACAGGCTCACGCCGTGTGTTTATGCAGCCTCTTCCAGGGGCCTCTGGCTGCTGCTACGGTGTAAATAACCTCCCCCTGCACTGTGCTGTGCTCTGGGTTTCACATGCAGCCATGTGCTCTTTCATGTGTGTTGCTGACTTAGAAAAAAAAAAAAAAAAGTCCTTAGACTTTAATCCTTGGGTTTATTTCAAAGCTTACAAAGGCAAATCTGGTTTATAGCAAGAGATTTGCTTGATTCCTTGTGCTCTGCGGATGAATGGAGTAGCAGATGGAGTGGGGAGGGGAGGACTCAGGGACCTCTTGGCTCTATCTTCTTGCTAGCTTGACCCTACTTCTGTGCCTGCTGCCCAAAGCGCTTTCTTTTAAGCTGTGCAGAACACGAAACGGGGTCAGTACAGACCTCTCTTGGGCAGTATCTGTTATATCCACCTCTTCTGTGATTTCCAACGCTGTTTTCTTACTCTTTGCTCTGGCTTGTTGGCCACACGTTGCTACATAGCCATTGTCTCGTGCTTCAGAAGGTGTGAAAGCCCATGCACAGTCTGCACATAGGAATGACAGAGGTGCGAATAAAATGAGCTGCAGACTCGGGAAGCAAAAGGCCTCAAAAAGTCCTATTACACCCTTAACTCACGGGAAATAATTTGAGTTTTGAGACCTGCTATATAAAGAGGTGCTGGAAAGCCTCACCCTGACCTGCCACATCAAATCCTCTCTTTTGAGGGGGACAGGCAGGGCGGTGCTCTCACTACCCCTTGCCAAGAGCAGTGCCCAAGTGGGACAGGACCCCGAGCGGTTCGATAAGAGCCGTGATAAGGTGGAGCCGTGCTGGCAGGCTGCATGCCGGCAGACGCATGCTCCTTCTTATCAGGGAGCGCCGCGGTGAAAGCGCTGTGCCAGCAACGGGAGCGGCACTGTGGGAACCGGCGATGGCTCAGCCTCCGCGGGGCTGCTCCTCGGGCAGAGGCAAACCCAGATGATCTAATTCCCTGCCTCGGTTTTCTCCAGCTGCACCCACTGCTTGTGGAGATGCCAAATGAGGCCCCGGCCATAGGAGGAGAACGTGTTTTTGCTGGGGATCACATTGGAGCTGTGGCTTCAGATCCTCCCCCTGTGCACGCCAAGGGAGGCATCTGGGGCTGCGAGACAATGGCTTGAAACAATCCCGGTTCTCTGCCAGGGAATATTCATTCAGAAATCCCATCCTGGTTTGATACTAACTCTCTCATGGTTGATCAAAGCGAAGGCAAGAAAAGAGCTTGGCCTCCTACTGTTGCTTTAGCTTCGGGCCAGTTTCAGCAGAAGCTGGGCGAGTGCCTTTATGCTGGGCAGCGTGGCTGGCAGCTGGGCCAGCTGGTGCAGCTCCCCGTTTTGTAGTGGCTTTAAGGTGCTGCCTGCATCTCACTAAGCATCAGGGCCATGCACCGCTTGCTCCGGTTCTCCTCTCCCCTCCTGCTGGGCTGGACGGAGGCAACTGAGGACGCTTGGTTCTGCTCCATGCTTGCCTTGGCTTGCTCTCCCTGCTCCGTGATCGGACACGTCACCTGCGCTGCAGCCACCTCCTCCTGGATCCCGCTCTTCCTGCAGCCTGGCTTTTGGCTGGAGGGAGGCACTGGGTCCTGGGGTGTCTGCCCTCGCTCCTCACCTCAAACCCTCCTCAGGGAATGAGATGAAAGTGGTTATTGTCGTGTTCCCCCTCATGTCCCTCACTTGTCTGTGACAGTGCAGGTGATGGCAAGTTCTCCCTCCACATTTCAGGGATCTCTGGAAAGGATTTGGCTTTGTCCAGGGAACAAGGATCTGTGATGTGTCTCAGGGAATTAAATTTGGTGATGGAAACCTGCTTGTCCACTCCTGGGGAGATGAAAGCCCTATGGAGGGGGCCAGACACCGTCTTGTACTGAAGCCAAGAGGGTAGGAAGGGCCAGATGCCAGGGATGGGGCACTGTTGCAGTCAGCGCTGGGTGACTGGTCTGTGTTATTCCAGGTCAGCAGAAACCCTGCCCCGCCGATGCCTATCCAGCACCCGGTGCCTGTGCGGGGCCGATGCCCTGGCAGAAGTGCGCAGGACCCCAGGGCTGCCAGCTGTCAGGGACACCCTTCCCCTCGCACCAGCCCCCGTCGGCTGCACCATTCCTTCAGTCCATTGCATTTCAGTAAGTGACTTGCCAGTGGCTTGGCGGGGACGACCCTTTGCTCTACCCTTCTATGCATCGTGTTCGGTAGTGGATGTGGCCCGTGCACTCATCCACTGGAGGAGAGGGTTGGGAACCTCACCCTGGCAGTACCGGTGCTCTGGGGTTCCCTGTGGCGGGCCGGGG